TGGAGGGCGCAGTGTCACTGGCTCATGTGGGAACCAAACCAGCGGCCCTGCTGCTTAGAGCTCGCGCTCCCAAGCCAACTCTTAACCAACAAGCCACTCGGCTAGCCCCAGACAATAGTCTTCCATTGAGAGTTTTATCCTTTTAAAAAACGCATGTTTCCTTTTTTATTTTCTATGTTATAACTTACACTCAGGTTCTAAGTATCAAGCAGATATGGTGCCCCAACATCTCTTATGAATTTGTCAAATTAACACTTATTTAGTGGAGCACAGGGTGCCAGATGATGAGCCAAGGTCAAACCACAGGTGACAAGAGAAAATGAAATATAGAAGTTTAGTACTCACAGGAAGTAACCAACATGCCTCCAGGGGCCACATGCAGAAGTCAAGGTAGGGTGCAGGCTGAGAGAGAGACAGGAGCTAGGGCATCTGCCTTTGGTAGGGTCCGTGGGTGGAGTGTTTTGGGGTTCCTGAGCTAAGGCCAGGTTGGTCAATCCAAACCCAAAATGTAGAGGTGTGCTAAGCTCCACAGGGGCCTTGTCTAAGGGGCATACAAGAGGGAAGTCAGGAAGACTGTTGATCACGAGGGCTGTCATAACAGGAACTTACATTTGCTTCTGACCCTGCTGGCTGCCATGTAGGGCATGTGCTTGTATGAGGGTGTGAGTGTCACTTTAAGGTCACTGCAGGCATCATGGCCGAACAAATGGATGCAAAGGCAGCAATACCATGGCGTAACTGAACTGAACTCTTGACACCATCGCTTTGACCACAGTAGGAGCTGACGGGATTTGGAGCTTCAACATGGTTCCAAAGTGTATCCAACATACTAGAGTAATTCAGTCACTACTCAGTTGGGATTTCCCATATGATCTGGCTATTTTCAGTTTTCTGGTTGTCAGAAACATATTCTTGCTTTTCTTTTTGGATTGCAATGTAAGGGCATAAATCTAACACAAATCCAATACGAATCAGACTTATAGGTCAAAAGGTAAGGAAATTATTAGAACAAAGAATATGTTTAATAAAAATAGTAGGGTCAAGCATTGTTGGTTCACTCATGCAATAAATACTTTTGAGCAGCTTCTACGTGCAAATGTCTGTGCCATGTGCAGGAAATGCTGAGGTAACTGTAACAACCACAGCCACTGCCCTACAGAGTGTATGGGTACTGGGGAAGACCCACATTAAGTAAACCAATAATCCTAAGTCTGTGAGTGTTTTGATCGGGGACATCCAGAGTGCACTGGATATATAGGCTGGCCTGGCCTGGCCTGGAGATTCAACTAGTTTAGGTGAACAGAGCAGGCTTCACTGAAGAAGGTTCTAAACTTTTCCATTTTAGTACATCCATTTTTTAGAAATTTATTAAATTATTGATGAATTTTCTCCATAGAAATTATTGAAAAGGCAATGACTCTAAATCAGACCTTGGATGAAGATGTCCAGATACCCAGTTCTGCTCTTCAGAATATGCAAAAGAACATTACATCTTTTCTGGAAACCATACAGAAAAGGCATTTCATGCAGTTGCACCAAAATGCCACACTTGAGCTCAAGTAAGTTCCTAAATATCTCATGACACAGCCAATTAGAAGTAGGAACTGCAGTGCTGAGGGGGGAAGGAGTCATGTGAGAGGAAGGGGAAGAAAGAAAGCTCTCACTGGGGGTATAATATAAAATAGAGGAGTCCTATTGTCAAGTAAATGAAGAAACAGGTGCCAGTCCCTCCAAATAGAGAAAAGTATAATCAATGCCAAATCTCTTCGTGATATTATGCCATAGGTTTTGTTTTTCTGTGTCCCTGGAACAACATTTCCACCTAGCACAAACAAAAGCACCTCATAATACTGTATTTATTGAAGACCAAGTATAGTGAAATAAATGCTTATGGAAGAAAATAGAGTCAATGTCTACTAGATGTGCTGTAAAACTTACAAGACAGATTGACATTATGCTAGAATAATTTAGCATAGTTATGCAAACCCTCATTAAAAAGCACAATGTGAAGTGACAGATCACAAGGAATTGTTAGGCATGGTCACTAGGAACTTATAATTTACTTTGAGGCTTTTTTTCTTAGTATTTTCACACAATAATTACTTGACGTAGTATATAGCACAAGCTGTCTTTCTTACAGGTTGTGATAAATATTTTAAATACTGGTTTAAATAGTTACTCAGTACTCCAACAAAAATCTGTTCTCTGTAATGTGATAGTTAAACTATTTTAATCTATTTTTCTATTTTATTTATTT